AAAAGCAAGGGTTGCATGACTTCTTTATAAGATAATGCTACAGTCTTATCCACGTTAAAGCTAAGTAAGTTGGAGTCTGACCAAGCCTTGATTATAAGTAAATCATCGGTTATAATTGAATGAAGCGTTGAAATATCAGAGCTGCTCCATGTAATACTGGTATCATCAGCAAATAGAAAAATTTTCCCTTTAATTTTCAAGTAAGTGATGTCATTAATGAAAAGTAAAAAAAGAATGGGACCTAATACTGAACCTTGCAGTACTCCACACTCAATATCTTTACAACTAGAGTCGGTGTCATTTATTCTAACCAATTGTTTCCTACCTACCAAGTAAGTTTTGAACCAGTTCAAAGACACACCCCGAATTCCATAGAAAGTTAATTTTTTTAATAGAATGTCGTGATTTACGCAGTCAAAGGCTTTGGAATAGTCGCAGAAAACGGTGGCGGAGGAGAGGTTACTGTTTAGTGATAGATATACATCATGTAACACAGAAAATATGGCATCACTAGTGCATTTATTAGACAAAAAGCCGAACTGATTTTGCGATAAAATATTATATTTAAGGAGAAAGGGCATAAGTCGAACTTTTATAAGTCTTTCAATAATTTTTGATAGTGCTGGTAACAAGGCAATAGGTCTATAGTTGCAGGCATCAGATTTTTCTCCACCTTTATGAAAAGGAATGACGATGGCAGTCTTTAGGCAGTTAGGGAATGTACCTTTTTCAAGGGAATCATTTACTAGCGAGACCATGACGTCCAAAACATTATGCGGTAGATTTGAGAAAATTTTAATAGATAATCCATCTGTACTACAGGACGATGTGCTTTTTATACTACGAATTGTTGAAATGAGTTCCGTCTTATCAACTGGTCTTAAAAAGAAGGTATCAGCAATGTTTTTTGAATTCGAGAGATAGGAAACTTGATCTTGATGTGGCGAAATAGTTGAGGTTATATTTTTACTCACATTAACAAAGTAATCATTTAGATTTTCGGGGTTAGGAAAAGAAAAGGTTTGATCCGCTGTACTGGTTTTATTTCGAAAATCGTTTATTATTGACCAAGTTTCTTTTGAAATATTTTTGGAGCTTGTTAAGCGATTATGAAAGTAGGATTTTTTGGCTACTTTGAGTAGTTTTATATAGCATTTTCTGTACTTGTTGATATAATCAGAGATGGGGATACTGTCATTAAATTTTTTAATATATAGCAGAGAACGCATATTTTTCGCAGATATGCGAATGCCTTTGGTAATCCAAGGTTTATTATGTTTTGGCCTGATGTTTAATAGAGGAAATGCTTTATTAAAAATAGATACAAGTCTATTTAGAAAATCACTAACATTACAGTCAATGTCTCCAGAAGAAAAACTCCAGTCAGAAGTCAAGCATGAATTATAGAATTTACGAAAGTTTTGAGTGGAAAAAATCCTACCTAATCGTCGGGTTTTTGAGTGAGGTGTTTGTAAACTGCTAAACTTGGTATATACCGTTTCATGATCAGAAAGCCCCCCACTAATAACTGTAGAATGGACGTCAGCGGGTGGAAAATCGGAAACCACATAATCAATTGTCGAGGATGATGTTTTTGAGATTCTTGTTGGAGAATTAACGTGCATTGTGAGACCATATGATTCAAAAATAGTTACCAAAGACAGTTGGGTCGCACAAACAGCAGCGTAGTCAATATTAAAATCATCACATAAAATTTTTCTGCTTTTAATTGTGTCCGGCAAATCTCCATTTCAATTTTGCAACTTCTTGTCTAACATCCCTCACTTTTGTTTTTTCTCTTATCCACTCGTTTCTCTTTTTATCCATTAGTCTTATGTGCAACATTTGTCTTTCCATTGCTCTTTGGATTTTTATGATTTTGTCCATGTTTGCTTTTGTAAATGTCCACGTTTGGGAACCATAAGTAAGAACAGGGAGTACGCATTGATTGTATACTTTGGTCTTAAGATGCTGTGGATATCCTTTGTTTTTAAGAATGTAGCTTAGTTTGCCAAATGCCGCCCATGCCAGTCTAACTCGTCTTTTTGTCTCTGCTGTTTGGTTTTCTTTGCTAAGTTTAATAGTTTGACCCAGATATATATAATCCTGAACTTGTTCTATTTCATCTTATGCGATCCTCATTGTGATGTCTTCATCTGTATTTGTTATGATTTTGGTCTTGCTGTAATTCATATTAAGGCCTATCTTTCCAGCTACTAAGTATTTTCATACTGAGTAAATGGTCACTTGTGCTGAATCCCTTTCTAAAACCAGCTTGTTCTTTCTCCTGGTATCCGTCAAATTTTGTCGTTAATCTATTGGTTAAAATTTTTGTTAGGAGTTTATACATTACATTGAGGAGTGTTATAGGACGGTAGTTTTTTATATCTGCTTTATCCCCTTTCTTGTGTAGGATAATGGTTACGGATTCTTTCCAGTTGTTTGGGATTCTTTTTTCTCTTAATATCTTGTTAAAAAGGGAATATAGAGTATAAGTTACCACTTTTCCACCATATTTCAGCATCTCTGCAGCTATTCCATATATTCCAGACGATTTATTGTTTTTTATTTCTTTCAATGCTTTTTTAATTTCTTCTGGTGGTTCCTTTTTGTTTTATATAATTCTGAGTAGAAATATTTATGATGCCATCTTTAATGTTTGTTTCTACTCCGTTCACATCTTTTATTTTATTTATTTCAAACTTACCTAATTTCGGTCTTAAGCATTTCATATTTTTGTTGTTCTGTATTACTTCTTCTATTTTTATTTCTTATTTTTTTCTTTTATCATTCTGTTTATTATTTTATTGATTTCTACATATTCTATTGATTTTCTTTTGCCTTCTTCGTTTAGCTTCCTTCTTTTATCCATAAGCTTCTTTGTTTCGTCGATATATAGTTGTTCTTTTTTAGATCCTCTTTTGCTATTTCTTTTCCAATCATCGCTGACGTAAGTATGTTGTCTATTTCGTCTATATCTTTATCATCACTGTCTAATTTTTGGGTAAGTTATTCTTTTATTAGGTCTTTGTATATCTCTTTATATTGCCCTAGTATGTAGTCGATCTCATTTTTTGTGGATCCATTAGGGCTGATCCATGTCCATTTTCGTTGAGGGTTCTTTTTGTAAAAGGAGATAATTGCGTATAGATGCTTTTCTGATAGGTAGATTCATCAAAGTAGCACCTCTATCATTTCTCTGACCATAGTCGAAATCTCCTATTTTAGTTTCTTCTTTGTTTAGTTTTTTACCCAGTTTGGCATTAAAATCTCCAATTACTAGTGTAAGACGATTTTTATGTTCTTCCATAGCCTTTGATATATCTTCATAAAATAGTTCGATATCTTCGTCATCGTAAGCTGTCGTGGGGGCATATACCTGGATGTTAATATTTAATATAAATGCAATGGAGCATAATTGTTACGGTCTACAAAAGATAATATACCTCTTTATTTATAAGCGGTCAAAGAATAGAGTTAAACAAAATAATAGAGACCCAAAAAACACAGAAAAGAATATATGGATTGTCTATCTAAAGAAGTTATGTCCTGAGGAGCAAAATACGTCGTTAAACCAGAAACGCCAGAATTTCTGATCTAGAAATTACCACCAATAAATAAGGTAATATAATATATTAGGTAATATAATATAAGGTAATATTATATATTATATAAACAGGAAGTACAAGAACACTGAAAATCTCTAAATAAAAAAGCTGCAAGCAAAGATGAGGTATCAAAAGAAATGTTAAAATATTGTAAGGTGCAAGGACAGAATATCTAACATTTCATATTAACAAAATTACGAAAAGGCTACTATTGAAAAAGGCGATAAAAAAAACAACTAGAAATTTATAGAAAACTTTTTAAGTACTACTGTGAAACTTCTGACAAAAATTTTGCACAAAAGAATAAATCGAAGGATAAACTTAGCAGATGAACAACAAGGTTTTTCTTCTTTCTCTTTATAAACAATTCTGATTGTTCATTGGCGGATTAATATCTCTATGGAAGGTTGTTACTCCATTTTTTGCGGGGTCGTCCGATACTTCTTCTGCCGATTGATGACTTATCTATTGCTATTTTAATGACACGGGTCTCCTCCATTCTGTTTATGTGGTTATTCCATTCTTTTTTTCTATTTTGTGTCCATTCATTTAGACGTGACTTTTTCAATGAAAATTCGCTGTTTTCAACCATAAATAGCTCAAAAATTATTGACTTTCAAAAAAAAGCTCTATAGACCAAAGCTACTCAACAAAGGTAATTGAATCTTCCACCAATCTCCCATCAGACAACCATCCCTGGAGCGAAAGCACACATAATTCACCAAATTTGAATTGGTTTAGTACGACAAAATTGGAAAGTAAATCGCCCGAGGGACGGGAGTAAAGTCACAATTTGCTAATAGGTACCACCAGTAGGTACTACAACAATATTTCCACGTATATTCAAACTCGTTCATGCATAGCATCATGTAATACCAATTACCTAGCTTTCATTCGGTAACTAATTATATGAGAATAAAACACCGTAGTTCTGACAGTGAAGTAACTATAACCTAACAAAAATAAACTTTATAGTTTTTATATTTTTTTTTATTTCCTGGTTACTCCAAATTACTCTAATTTTGATTTGTAATAAACAATATAAAATGGAAGACGCTGAATTTTTCTACATATTAATTTGCAAGATATTCGTTATTTGAACGTTCAATTGGAACAGGATAATTCAGTTTTACAATAACTGATCTACGTGTTATATAAACAATTATATATACGACTTACAACTCTAAATCAATTCCAAACGACGAAGTTAGATGAGCTTAACGAAGTATTTTTTTAGCGGGAATCTTACTGACATTATGTAGCACCGCAGGCTGATGATTCACCACTTATGAGTTATCGTTGTCGAATTTTTTATTACTTTAAACCAAATTGACAAGTTTTCCAAAAAACTCCATCTTTCTTACATTATAATAAAAAATATTTTCTTTTCAGGCCCCACTACCTGATTCTTATAGAGGTAAATATCGTGACACTGAGTATCCAAAGGAGAATATAGGCCATGCATATGCCGACGATGTCCGCGAAATTTGCCAAAAAGTTCAAGAGAAAGGAGATGGAGTAAGTGCCTTCATAGCAGAAAGTCTTGTAAGCTGCGGAGGTCAAGTTATTCCGCCCAAAAATTATTTCAATGAGGTAATAACCTTTATTATTATGTTTTTATTAACTTACTGACAGTAAAAGACAGAATTTTTTTGTAGATTACTTGCATATTAGGTAACCTGTCTATGACAAAAAGATAACTCACGATCATAAAATTTCGTTTCATCCAAATTTACTTGTATTTTTACAGACCAAATTAGTATTTTATCTTTGTACAAGTTGTTCGCCCAAATAATCGTAAGAGAGAACAATACACCAGAAAGTTTCTACTGGTCATTGCTCATTTTTACAAACAGTAATATTGTAAAACAGAACAAAGACACTCTACAGTAAACAAATTGTTAAGAACTTGTTTTTTGAAATATGCTAATCGTCGCAATAAATCTTTTAGGTTTACGACGCTGTCAGGAGTGCTGGAGGAGTGTGCATCGCTGATGAAGTCCAGGTTGGCTTCGGAAGGATAGGAAAGCATTGGTGGGCTTTCCAACAGTACGACGTAGTTCCTGATATCGTTACCATGGGCAAACCTATGGGTAATGGACATCCTGTAGCTTGCGTTGTTACCACCAAAGAAATATCACAGAGTTTTACTCAGACAGGAGTGGAATATTTTAACACGGTGAGTGTATTTTTACATATATATTCAATTAGGAATTCCTTTTTTTATAAAATACCGAAACATAATTGCTGTTTGTAAAAAATAGCGTTTTTTAATTTTTTGACAAGATTGATAAGATTGCCACTATCCTTAACCTTGATATGATTCTGAGAACTTTTGGTAAAACTAGCGAAAAGACTGCAAGTATGAATCTGACAGTATTGACGTTTTCTTTCTTTTTCAGTATGGTGGTAATCCAGTTTCTTGTGCCATAGCAAATGCAGTTTTCGACACGATAGTAAATGAAAATCTAAGAGAAAATGCTGTAGTTGTTGGTGAATACCTTCTCGATAACTGCCAATTATTAGGCAAGAAACACAAATGCATAGGTGACGTCAGAGGAGTTGGTCTCTTCGTTGGAATTGATTTAGTGAAAGATAGAGCAACCAGAGTACCTAACACGGATTGTGCCAAATTTGTATTGCAAAGGTAAATATTTCAACTTTTATTTTTTACAATTTATAACTATTTGGAAAGAACAGATACATGAAACAATATGGAGGTTTAAGAACAGTATAATCTTTACAATCAATAATACATTCCCATTACTTAATACAACTAGTAATGAAAATAAATGCGATCAAGAAAAAAACTTGGATAATTTTTCTGGACTTGATTAAGACATATACGTCAGTAAGATATTTAGTAGTTTAGATGAATCACTAAATAATATGTCTGTTGGAGGACAAACTACAAACTTAAAAATGAACAACGGGGATTCTCTTCAAAAGCCTACGAAAATTATAATTGCTTCTCTTCTTGAAGTGCTGCATCCACTTAGCTTTCTTAGCACACACATATACACACACACTCTCACAAAATAGTAATCCCCGAAGTAAATGATATCCCCCAGCCCCAATGCTCTCCAGGCACTCTTTCATGACTCCCCTCATAGCACTCAAACGCGCTATGAGAGGCTGCTATCATAATATTGCTTGTTACGTGAGTTAGAAATGAGGAGGTCCTTAGACGGCTAAACCAAACAACACAACTGGTCAATATAATAAAGAAACGCAAGCTGGAATACTTCGGTCATATTATAAGACACCCTGAAAAATATGATCTTTTACATCTGATCATTCAGGGAAAGATCCAAGGTAATCGTGGTCCTGGTAGAAGAAGAACATCATGGCTGAAAAATCTAAGGCAATGGTATGGAAAATCAACTACATCGTTATTTAGAGCTGCTGTCAATAAAGTCACGATAGCGAATATGGTAGCCAACATGATATCCAACGATCGATAGCGGTCATGGAACTAGAAGAAGAAGACGTGAGAGTCTTAAGAAACGAGACTCTCACTTAACGTCTTCTCCGCGTGAAATCCAGTACACTGTAAGGCGCTCTAGTCCCATAGTCGTCTTGTCGTCTTTATCTGTTTTGTGTGTACGAGCATCGAGCCTCTAAGTCAACTAGTGCCTTTCGGCTGAGCTGACTTTAAAGTCTCTCTTTCCTGGTTTTTAATGTTTTGTTATTTTTTTTATGATTTTTTTAGGGAGTTTTCGATAAGGATCGGCTAAGGGTGGAAGTTAGTCGAGCATTTTAGAGCTAATTACATGCTATCTCTTCTTAGTCATTGCCAGATAGTTGTTGTTTGGTTCTTGTGTATTTCCATCGATGGAAGGCATCATACCTTATGAACTCTCGCAGGTTGTGGTTGGGATGGTTCACTAGTTCTGCGAATTTTGTTTTTGCTTTGTCGTCCATCTGGTCTAATACATTAATCTGTTGGGTGTCTCTGAAAAAAAATCTTTCCGCTACGTATCGACGGATGTTTACTGCTTTTCGTAGTGCTCCATTGTAGACAACTTGGATCTTTTTTCTGTTCGTCTATGAGCCTTATCTTTGTTGTGAATGTTAAGTTACTTATTCTCCCGGTTACGCTTCTGATATTGGTTTGTGCAAGTTTTGCCTTCTGTACTGTTCTTGTAACATAAGATGTGAATGTGAGTCCCTTATCCATGATGACCCCGAGGTACTTTGCTTTATTTGACCATCCGATGGGAGTGTCAAACATCTATAGTTGTAAGACGCCGCGTCTCTTCTTCTGGGTCTTCTCCGGATTTACTGCAATTTTCCACTGTATGTACCACTTTTCTAAAGCGTCTGGTGCTCACTGAAGGTTCATAGTTGCAATGTCTTGATTACTGTGCTTAACCACTATTGACATGTCATCTGCATAGAGATTGATCATGGTACCTGGTGTTCTGGAGGCATCGTCTGTGTATATGTCATACAACAGTGGAGACATAACAGCTTCCAGTGGTACTCCTGCCTCCGGAATTCTGACTTCGGATATAGGATTTGTCCAATGCGAATCCTGAATTTTCGGTTCGCGAGGTACGAGTAGAGTAACTTTGTCCTGGCATTACTGTATTAATAGTTTTTCATTTAATAGATCAGTCCTTTGTGTCAAACTTTGTAGAATGCTTCGCTTACGTCTAGGAAGACTGCTCCTTAGTTGAAGCGATGAACCGTTGAAGCCTGCTGCGGTATATTCTGTGAGCCTGAGTATTTGTGTTTGCCCTAAAATATTACTCTTTCATTAGTTTTGCTGACTGCTGGCAGTAATCTTATTGGCCTGTGGTTCTATGGAAAAATGCTGTTATTTCCTGGTTTATGGATTGTGACCACATGGGACTTCTTTCTATATACTAGGGAATCTTCTAAAACTCATCAGTGCATATATTAGGTTGGTCAGATATACAACTGCTTTCGCTGGGATGTATTTTAGAATCCTGTTGGTTATTTCGTCTGGTCCAGGAGCTTTCTTTTGGATTGGAAAAATTTCTTTTAGATGTGTGTTTCAATGTTGGATCTTCTGCTTTTGTCGGTCTTCTGCGTCAGGGTCTTCTTCTTGGTGGTAGTTCATGGCACATTATCTTTCTAGGGTGGTTCTTATGACTTCGTCCTTGTCTACTCGGTAGTGTTAACTATACCATTTTCCCCATGTAGAGGTGGCATTAGATTGCTATCCTTTCTTATGATTTTCTGTAGTTTCCACACATGGTCCATGTTTCTGATATTTTCTTATTGTTCCTTCGTATGATTGTCCCATTTCTCAGTCGTGTGGCTTTGGAGTTTGTCTTAATCTTCTTATTTAGTCTGTTCGCTCTGTTCTTACCTTCTGGCTGTTTTCTTTGCTCTGTTCTTCTTTTCGCAGTTCTTGGCTGATATCTTCAAATCTACCTTTGTTGCTGATACTATCCTCTTCGGTAGTGCTGTTGTTACTGGCTTCTCTTATGACGTTTTCGAAATCTAGGACACTTGTTTCTAGTTCTTCTGGGCTGTTTATGGCTGAGATATTTCAATTTCCTTTGCTGACTAGTCTTTTGAAGGTTGGCCACTTTGTCCTCTTCTTTTTGTAAGTTTAGGGATGATCTTTTTTCTTATTATGGTCTTATTGGTCTTATTATGGTCATATTGGTCTTATTACGGTCTTCTGCTTTGTATTTCTCTCTGGAGTCCCAGATTCTTTGTTACAGCCATGTCTAGGTGAATGGGTAGATCATTGCCTCCAGCGAAGGTTGTATTGACCCGATCACTATTGTTCCATCTCTGTTTTTGAGATAGCTGACTAATCTCTGTCATTCCAGTTCGCGGATCTGGCGTTAAAATCACCCATTATGATTGTTGGTTCTTCTGTGTTAAAGCCACGATAATCTCCATGAAGAGAAAGAACTGTAACGAAAATACGACAAAAACAATTAAAGGTTACTTACATGTGAACAGAATGGGTGAAGACTGGACACCAAAGTGAATTATAAGAGAAAGCTTTCAACAAGGTATAGTCAAGATAAATGAAAGGTCTGGGAGAGTGCAATTTGATGGACAGTAAACTATGGAAATCAGAAGGTGACCATATTCGCTACAACTCCGAATTATATACAAAATTATTAAAAATATTGACTGTCATCACTGAAAATAAAAGCAAAACAATTAAAATTTAACTCCTCTTGAGTTTTTCTTACTTTTTTCAATGTAAATATTATGTAAATTTTTACTGATAAATTGTGTTAATTTTTAGGATGAGAGAAGAACACATTCTCATCAGTCTCGACGGACCTCACGGCAATATCATCAAGTTCAAGCCTCCAATGGTATTTACCAAAGAAAATGTAGATGAAGTAGTCTCTACATTAGATAGAGTATTCAAAGAATGGAGACACCAAGAAGAATTATATGATGTTAATACCCACAAACCATCGATACATGTTTCAGAAAGTACAAAAACTACAAAAGAACACAGACCCATGGGATCCTTATTCAAGGATTCGAATATTAAGTCTATTTAATACGTGGAAAAGAGTTATAAGTATAAAGAATCGATGTTAAATTACAATAATTTAAAAACAATTATCAAATTAACATTCAAATACTTCGTTTATTTGCTACATTCATTCATATAATTAAACAGATATATAAGTCTTAGCAGTAAACTATTGTCTGTATAATTGGTCTTTACTAAAGTCACTAATAAGAAAAAATAACACTAAACGAAATTATAGATTCTAATTTGAAGGTTATTAAATAATGAATGGTATCTAATGGTATTTAGTAAATATGTTAAATTATTGTGTAAAATTTAGTATTAACATTACTGAAAAAAAAAATAAGAAAATTTGAAAACAATTTCTTAATTTTAATTAGTGTTTCTTCATGTAAATATTTATTTTTTATATTTAATTTTCCACTATTTAAACTTTTGTTACATGTATGATAAGTAAAACAAGAGAAAAGAGTATTATAATGCATTCTAGATTAAGTCTTATGTATAATTTTAACATGTGACAATGTGTGAGGGATTATTATCGATGTTTTAATTGATAAAAATACATATATTTTTATAGAAATTGAGGTTTTGTTTTTCTTTATGTCCCAATATTCCAACGCCTGAAAACTCATAAACCTAATGCAGTTGAGAAGGAGATGGTAAATTTTCTAAAGACTGTACCAGGCCATGTACCGTTAAGTATGCCCGCTGGCGTGTATTGGATTCAGAGTGGAAGGGTACATCCGCACACAGTCCCCCCAGAGGAGTCGTACTTACAGATGTTCCCATAGCTTTATGCCTACCAACTAAAGTCCACCCCCTCAAATGAACTACTCATGTGGTAGGTCTTCTCCAGACCGGTGCATCGCATGAACTCTCTTTCTCTCTCTCGCATAGGGTTAGTCTGATAGAGTTAGCCCTCGCAATATTGATGCTCCTTATCGTAAAGTAGTTCCTAACCAAGTTCTGCAGATAGGGAGAAATCCATAAGTCACTCAGTAGTCTGACGATACTTTTTCAGCTAGCACTATCAAAAGCATTTCTTATATTGAGAAAGGAAGCCACCAGAAAGCAGTACCTATATACTCTACTACACAGTAGAGATGCTGCGGTAGTTATAGTTTTTAGCATAATTTAGCATATAGTTTGTTTGATTCCTGCCTTGTTCTCTGGTTAGTTGTTCTAGTCCTGTGTGATCTGCTTTCCATAATCCATATCTTTTTCTATATCTTCCATTTCTGCTTGTACACTTATGTTACGTTTCTCAATACTTTCCGTTATGGGGATTTTCTCCGTTTTTTCTTCGTAGTTTTCAGTTTTTGTCTGAAATACCTTTATCATTGCAACTTTGGTTTTCACGTGTTCGTTTCCTATATTGTGGAGTGCCTTCGATTTCTTTATGACCTCTTCCACTGCGCCATGTTTTTCTTATCGCGCCTAGTTCTTGGCTTTCTCTTCTTTCTTCTACGGTCTTACCCTCTCCTAAGTCGTCGATATTATTTCTCTTTTCCTCCTCGGCCCCTGACTTTGCTGAGTCTCCCGTTCTCTCCCTCGATCTCTGATCAGTCCTTGTAGGTGATATGCCTATGGAGTCTCCACTTCCTTAGATTCCCCAGTTCTTCAAGCTGCTGCCACTCTGTCTCCTCGTGTAGGTCGTCATCATTTTCCTTTTGTTTTGTTTTATTAAAACTTGTCGGTTGGTTAGCAGCTATATATATTCTGCTCTATATGCTTTCGTGCAGTCATTCATCCCCTGGTCTCGGTGGCTCACGAGCAGAGATTGTGGATTTTTTATCGAGATATACTCCTCTGGATTTGCCACGGTTTTCTCCAGTAGCAGTGACAGCAACTCCCGTATACCGTCTGGTGTTCCTCAATGTAGCTACTTACTCTGCCCTGTGGGGAGATGGAAAAGGGAGTGGATTCGGATTGTACTCGGAGTTCAGATCTAATGTATCTTTGGATATCTTGATCATTGACCATTGGGTGACTGTGGTTTATGTCGCAGACATGGAAGATGATAGTGAGGACCTGAGGGCCTTTAATTTTTTGTCAGGGATTGGTACAATTAGAGGTTTTTTGGGAAGGAAAGCGCATCAATTGGGAATGACTGCTGCGTCACCCGGTGCACCGACGCCGGAAGCTATTTAGACTGTTTTTGGTTTCATCAATAGTGATCCCCTCACATTAGTAGAGACCAAGACCGACTACTCGGCTTTTCACCACCTCGAGGTGATTCCACAACTGTTCTAGTAGTATAAGTATTCAGTATTACACTGAAGGTTCGTTATTCCGACAAACGTTTTGCGGAATAATGTAAGTATATATGTATGTTAAATTTAGTAAATTAAAGATCGCAATAGAGAGCTTAAATTTTATTATAAAAATAACATCATCAATGCTCTAGAACTTTGTGACAACAAAGGTTCTTCCACCTCTGCATGTTCAACTTTATTGAGTGGCTTCTCTTGCCTGGCCCATAATCAGTAGTTGAAATGAAGGTTTTAAACTTTTCATGGTTCTTTTTAATATCAAATTGTAGATCGACCTAAGCCGTATTCACTTCCAAACTGCTAAAGGATTCACGATTTAAACGAGCCAAAATATCACTTTTTCTTCCATTTTCGGTGTTTTGGCGTTACTAAGTATATATATATATATAATATATATATATATATATATATATATATATATATATATATATATATATATATATATATATATATATATATATAAAAAGTGAGTTGAGGTTAATTGGGTATACAGCTGAATAAAAGTCAAGTGCACTCTGTTCAACAGTTCATTATATTTCGCCAATTTTCATTGGCATCATCAGATGAAAGCTACAATTATTTAAAACATGGTAAAAATAAATAAAAATAAAAATAATAAAATACATTCAATAGTCTTACTTGATTGAGGTTGTGGCAATATGATTTATGTTATCATCAGAAAGGTTTGTGGTATGATGTGGATTGTAGTTTTTTTGGATATATAACATGTAGTTGTAAAAATGACAATTAAAATATTAAATGACAATATATAAATTAAAAAACAAAATAAACATAAAAACGTTTAGTTCGCAGATAGTCATTAAGGTTTAGTACTAGAAATACCAAATATCGAATGTTATTGATTGATGTGTAGCAGGAGATAATTAGTTCTATAGTGTTAATATAGTAGTTGTTTATTGATTGGGATTTACTGTAAAAGTGTGTTTTAGATAAAAAATTTAAAAAATTTTTGAAAATTTTGGAATTACATGTTGTGTTACAATAATTATTTAATAGTTATGTTTGTTTTTTCGATATGTAATAGATAAGCATAAATCTCACTCAAATGCTCAACATCTGATTTCTTATTTATTAAGTTATCCATTTGGGTGATAAATGCCATCTCGAGGAAGAGTCTTTTATTGAGATTATTCTCCATTGCAAGAATCTTTGTTTCGTTGTAGTTCATTACATGGTGTTCATTATGTACGTGTTTTGCAAGGGAACATCTATCGGGATATAGTCTGCTGTCACTCATGTGGGAAATGATACGATTTTTTAGGTGTCTGTTGGTTTGGCCAATATATTGTTTGTTACAACTTCCGCAAGGGATACAATAAACTATATTGGATAATTGATCTGTAGGTGTCTTATCTTTTAGTTTAGTGAATATCGAGTTAATGTTTAACACTGTGTAATTCGCGATTTTTATGTTAACGTCAGTTGATTTAAAAATTCGTGTAAGTTTTGGTGTTAACTCTTGTATGAATGGTAATCTAAAGTATTTAAATGGAGTTAAATTAGTGTTAGTGGTTGTGTCTATTGTGGGTGTAGTGTTTTGTAGTGTGTGATTAGGGATAGTTTGTGTTACAGATAATGTATCGTTTGTTGTATTGAATAGTAATTTGGTAAGTAATGTGTTTGGATATGAATTGTCTAGAAAGAGTTGTTGCAGGATTTTTAGATTTTTATAATGTAGCGATTGATCAGCAATCAGTAAAATTCTGTTTTTCATTTGTTTTATAAGATTAATTTTTGTGCTATGCTTATGATATGACCAATAGTTAATATATCTTCCGGAGCTAATAGGTTTCCTATACCAATCTGTTGTTATTACGTTGTTGTTGTTGCGTATTAGTTTAGTGTCAAGGAATGGGACTGATTGATGTTTGTCTTCTGTTTCTACTGTAAATTTTATATGTCGGTCAAAGTCGTTAAAAATGTATAATAGTTCATTAATCATGTCTTTTGGTAGGGCTAAAATTATATCGTCGACATATTTCTTTAGGAAGGTTATTTTGAATGGAAGAACAGGAATGACTATATCTAAGAGATCGTCCATAACATATAAGGCCAGAATGGAACTCACACATCCTCCCATGGGGGTGCCTATTTTTTGTTTATATATTTTGTTGTTAAAGGAGAAGTGTGTGTTATTGAATAGGAATCGGATTAAATCTAAGAAGATATCTTTATCGATTTTGCAATGTATACTTATGTTGGACCAATGTTTGTTTATGGATCTGAGACAAGCGTCTAAATAGATATTAGTAAAAAGGGAAACGACGTCTAGACTTGCAAGAACATAGTTATTAGGAAGTTGTAATCCATTAAATGTTGTTTTTACATCGAATGAGTCCTTTATGTAGTATTCATTATTGAAGTCATATGATGCTGTTAGTATATTTTTTACAAAGTTTGCAATACTTTCAGTTGGAGAGTTAATTGACGAAACAATAGGTCTTAGTGATAATGTCGGTTTGTGTATTTTTGGTAATGCATAGAATTTTGGAGAGTTACTGTTATATTTTGTTAGTTGTTTTTTGGTAGGTTCGTCAATAAATTTCTTATCGAATAAGTTCTGTACTAGTTTATTACTTTCTTTTTGTATTTTAAGTGTAGGATCAGAATTTAATTCTATATATATTTTATTATCATCAAGAATTTGTTGTGATAGTTCTGTATAATCTGTTTGTTTCATGACTACAGTAACGTTCCCTTTATCAGATCTAGTGACTATAAGTTCTGGATGTTCTCTGAGAAATTTTTTTGTTTTGCCTAGTAAATGGTGAAAATAGTTGTTGGTCTTTTTATTGCGTTTAGCGTAATTGGTAATTACGTTTGTGGATCTAGCTCTTATGTTTGTTTTTGTTTGTTCGTTTTTATGCCGTCAACTATTTAAAACTATGGTCAAAAACGAACAAGAAATTAGCTAAAGAAAGAAATAGAAAACAATTCTTATTGAACTGTCGAACAATGGGATTACAACCAACGCACCTTAAACAAGTAACTATACCAATTGAAGACTTGCTACTAAGACAAGAACCAGAAGCACAACATGAACTTTTAAAAATACAAAAAAGGTTAAGTACTAGTTTACTAAATAAAGAAATTAATTTTGCACATAAACTAATAAACAAATTAGAACATAAACTTACACTACTTAAAGACAAAATCATTAATAATATAAATGAATACACTTTCAATGAATTTTCTAGCAAACAGTTAATTGTATATAACAGACTATATCACAAAATTAAAGCAACACAAATTAATAAATTAGAAAAATTAAAAAATGACTTTGAATCCATACATTTTAACACAAAATCAAGCTGGTTAAAAAACATTAGTAATGTAGATATCCCTAAAGATATTGAAAAATTTTTAGCACTAGGCCCAAAGTTTAGTATTGAACCAAAACTGAATAACGACATCACAATAAAGAACCTACTTGCTGACATTGATTTAGTAGCTTCGTCAATAAAAAACGAACAAACAAAAACAAACATAAGAGCTAGATCCACAAACGTAATTACCAATTACGCTAAACGCAATAAAAAGACCAACAACTATTTTCACCATTTACTAGGCAAAACAAAAAAATTTCTCAGAGAACATCCAGAACTTATAGTCACTAGATCTGATAAAGGGAACGTTACTGTAGTCATGAAACAAACAGATTATACAGAACTATCACAACAAATTCTTGATGATAATAAAATATATATATAGAATTAAATTCTGATCCTACACTTAAAATACAAAAAGAAAGTAATAAACTAGTACAGAACTTATTCGATAAGAAATTTATTGACGAACCTACCAAAAAACAACTAACAAAATATAACAGTAACTCTCCAAAATTCTATGCATTACCAAAAATACACAAACCGACATTATCACTAAGACCTATTGTTTCGTCAATTAACTCTCCAACTGAAAGTATTGCAAACTTTGTAAAAAATATACTAACAGCATCATATGACTTCAATAATGAATACTACATAAAGGACTCATTCGATGTAAAAACAACATTTAATGGATTACAACTTCCTAATAACTATGTTCTTGCAAGTCTAGACGTCGTTTCCCTTTTTACTAATATCTATTTAGACGCTTGTCTCAGATCCATAAACAAACATTGGTCCAACATAAGTATACATTGCAAAATCGATAAAGATATCTTCTTAGATTTAATCCGATTCCTATTCAATAACACACACTTCTCCTTTAACAACAAAATATATAAACAAAAAATAGGCACCCCCATGGGAGGATGTGTGAGTTCCATTCTGGCCTTATATGTTATGGACGATCTCTTAGATATAGTCATTCCTGTTCTTCCATTCAAAATAACCTTCCTAAAGAAATATGTCGACGATATAATTTTAGCCCTACCAAAAGACATGATTAATGAACTATTATACATTTTTAACGACTTTGACCGACATATAAAATTTACAGTAGAAACAGAAGACAAACATCAATCAGTCCCATTCCTTGACACTAAACTAATACGCAACAACAACAACGTAATAACAACAGATTGGTATAGGAAACCTATTAGCTCCGGAAGATATATTAACTATTGGTCATATCATAAGCATAGCACAAAAATTAATCTTATAAAACAAATGAAAAACAGAATTTTACTGATTGCTGATCAATCGCTACATTATAAAAATCTAAAAATCCTGCAACAACTCTTTCTAGACAATTCATATCCAAACACATTACTTACCAAATTACTATTCAATACAACAAACGATACATTATCTGTAACACAAACTATCCCTAATCACACACTACAAAACACTACACCCACAATAGACACAACCACTAACACTAATTTAACTCCATTTAAATACTTTAGATTACCATTCATACAAGAGTTAACACCAAAACTTACACGAATTTTTAAATCAACTGACGTTAACATAAAAATCGCGAATTACACAGTGTTAAACATTAACTCGATATTCACTAAACTAAAAGATAAGACACCTACAGATCAATTATCCAATATAGTTTATTGTATCCCTTGCGGAAGTTGTAACAAACAATATATTGGCCAAACCAACAGACACCTAAAAAATCGTATCATTTCCCACATGAGTGACAGCAGACTATATCCCGATAGATGTTCCCTTGCAAAACACGTACATAATGAACACCATGTAATGAACTACAACGAAACAAAGATTCTTGCAATGGAGAATAATCTCAATAAAAGACTCTTCCTCGAGATGGCATTTATCACCCAAATGGATAACTTAATAAATAAGAAATCAGATGTTGAGCATTTGAGTGAGATTTATGCTTATCTATTACATATCGAAAAAACAAACATAACTATTAAATAATTATTGTAACACAACATGTAATTCCAAAATTTTCAAAAATTTTTTAAATTTTTTATCTAAAACACACTTTTACAGTAAATCCCAATCAATAAACAACTACTATATTAACACTATAGAACTAATTATCTCCTGCTACACATCAATCAATAACATTCGATATTTGGTATTTCTAGTACTAAACCTTAATGACTATCTGCGAACTAAACGTTTTTATGTTTATTTTGTTTTTTAATTTATATATTGTCATTTAATATTTTAATTGTCATTTTTACAACTACATGTTATATATCCAAAAAAACTACAATCCACATCATACCACAAACCTTTCTGATGATAACATAAATCATATTGCCACAACCTCAATCAAGTAAGACTATTGAATGTATTTTATTATTTTTATTTTTATTTATTTTTACCATGTTTTAAATAATTGTAGCTTTCATCTGATGATGCCAATGAAAATTGGCGAAATATAATGAACTGTTGAACAGAGTGCACTTGGCTTTTATTCAGCTGTATACCCAATTAACCTCAACTCACTTTTCATCTACCAGATCAGCTGTTATTTTAGAGGATATATATATATATATATATATATATATATAATAAAAAAATAAGTATGCTAAGATTAAAAAGTGTTTACTTTAGATTACTTTTCAAATATTGTGATTATATAAATCTATACATCAACTTTCTTAAAAAATTTATAGACAAATAAATGTTCCCCTGGTATTTTTCTCTCAAGAACAATTTGACTGTTAAAACCTAATTCTTCCATATTTTTTACAATATCTTTGAGTCTATTCTCTTTTAACAACACAACATAACACACACCTTTTTCTGAAAGTATATTTGGTAAATTATTTAATAGTTTATCAGTAATTTCACGGCCATCACTCCCCCCAGCCCAAGAACGATTTAATCCATTACCACAGATCTCCCCCTGTTCTGTTACAACATATGGAGGATTAAATAAAACAATATCACAAATTTTATTTTTAAAATTAGTTAATAGGTCCATTGTCATGGTTTCAACAGTAGTTTTGTTTAATTTACTTGTAAGCTGAGCAGCTAAGCAACACTGATTGTTTATATCAGTGCCAAAGTATGCACAGGATGTCCCAAATATCTGAAACATTGCACTGATAATTACACCACTACCTGTTCCTACTTCGGCTATAACAGTAGGCTGCAAACTTTTTAAAAACAGAGAGTCTGACTCTAGTGCATCTAAGAATAAAAATGTGTCTTCTCTTGGCTCATATACTTCAGGAAATTGTCCTAATGAATAAATAGGTGTTGAAAGATTCATGTTAACTGGCACTAGCTTGTGTCTCCTCAGTGCTTTCTAAAACTGCTTTTCTCTTTAAAACTTCTTTATCTAAATTAGCATGAACCTTGTTTAATCTCTCCTGTGTATTTTGCAACACATTTGTCAACACTGTAACTCTCTGTTTGGCATTAATAAGCTTTTTAACATAGATATCCAAATCCTGTGTGTGCTGTTGTGAATCAGATATTGACTTGAGTTCTTCACTGAGACTTTCAATACATTGTTTCAGTTCCAACTGAGATATTCTGTAACAAAATAAATATGTTAGAATAATTTGGTTTTTATTATGTATAAAAAATAACTAAAATAAATAGGAGGCAAATTGTTTGTTCTTAACATTTTCGCAAACACAATTTCTTGATGATGCAGTTCAAAGAACAACAAATGGAGGAACAGTGGAAAAAAATCAAACAAGAAATAAACAAAGCAGCAAAGAAAGTGGTTGGCAAAATGCAAAATGAAAGAAAAGAGTAAAACAAGATTGAAATGGTTAAGCACAAGCAAAGAAGGGGAACGAAAAAATTACAAAGATCAAAGGCAAAAGACAGAGAAATTGTTTAAATAAAAAAAAGATCAAAAAGTAGAAGAAATTATGAACGAGATAGAAATAGAAAATGAAAAATACAACTCAAAACCATTGCACCGATACTTAAAATTAGGTAACCAAAAAGGACAGCTAACATAGCTATAGAAGCAGAAAAATGGCAGAAGTACAGTAAAACCTCGATATAACGGACTACTTGGGGGGACCCAAGTCTTTCGGATTTAACGTACGTTAAAGCCAAAAATCCGTTATATGAAATATGTTATCAAAAAAATTTATTTTTTAAATATGTATGTACACTATATTTATTGATATATAAAAATACAAAGTACAAACAAAATTCTATTTAATTGTCTTTGGACATTCGTTGTGAAGTGACGTTGCAGTTGATAACGAAGCGTTTGCTGCCGGTAATTCTGTTTTGAAAAAGGAATCAAGTTTCATTTGCACTTTCGATGTTTGCTTTTTTTTATGATCAACTCTCTATGATATGCTTTATAAATGCTTTATAAAAATATATACATATTATTATTAGAAATGTGTCCTCTTATGCTAAATTTTATTGAAATTCTTTGTAAAATACAGTGGTATTTTTACATTTGACCAGGTTTTTTGTCTGTTATATCTGAAGTTCGTTAAATAGAGGTCCGTTATATCAAGGTTTTACTGTATTTCCAAGAAATATATCTAGAAACAGATAGAGAAGAAGAACGAGAAACAATAATAAACACGGAACAAGATGAAGAAGAAGACGAATTGACCATAATTGACTATACAAAAGTGAAAGATAAAATATGCAAACTTAAAAATAGGAAAACAGCTAGAGAGAACAGAATATGTGTAGAATTATAAAATATGGTGGGAAAGCACTATGCAGAAAGATTTATGAACTAATACAGAATATATGGAGAAAGAAATAATGTCCGAAGAATGGAAGAAGGGAATTATAGTAACAAGCCTAATACAAGGAGACCATAGAATATGTAAAAAACTACTGAGAATTAATTTACTGAATGTAAAATATAAAGTAATGACTGGTATAATTGAGACAGACAACAATATACACAGAACAAGGCATATGAGATTACCAGTATAGTTTCAGAAAAGGAAGATCCATAATAGATCCAGCACTATATGTATGCTAAAACAAGTGATAGAAGAAACATACAAGTCTATATACTATTCCTACATTTTAAACAGGTTTTTGTCAAAATAAACAGAAGAAAAATGATTCAACACTTACAAGAGTACTTATACCAAAGAGTTATATACCAAATAAAATTATATGAATGATAGTAATGACAATGCGAGATATCACTAGACAAGATAATAAAAAAACAAAGGAACTATAAACAAGAATACAGTACATCAATAGGATATATAGATGATACAACTATAGTAGCAACAGATAAAAGGGCATTAAAGAAAACATTCCAAGGAATAGAAAACAAAAGCAAACTGATAACACCAGAGATAAATAAAAATAAAACAAAATATATTAACCCAAGCAAGAAAAAGAAGAGACAAATCATAGAACTGACAATAGATACACACAATTTCGAAGAGGTTGAAACATTCAAATATTTGGGAATACTAGTCAACATAAGAAATGAAAGTGTAGACATAAAAAGAAGAATTCAAGCAGGAAATACAGCATACTATAGAAATAAAAAAATGTTTAAAAGATAAGCCAAAACACTAAAAATGAAAATCTACACAGTGACCATAAGAGCAATAGTAGTATATTCTGCAGAGACATTTGCATGCTGCAGAGGTCAAGAGAACATAGAGCAATAAAACACAGAGAATTACATGGTATGGACACATAATGAGAAAATATAAGAGCAATCCACTAAGAGAAGAGAATGGATACCACCAGATAAAAAAAAAACAGAGGCAGGTCTAAACTGAGATGGAGACAACAAGTGGAATAAGACTTAAGGAGTATGGAAATCAGAAATATAGGAAAGACAATCAAAAACAGAGAAGAATGGAGAGAAAAGTAGGGACACAGCAAAGTCACACCAGAAACTGTAAAAGCAAAACCCAGAATGGGATAATCTCCCACACGAAAAGATCCATCAAGTGAAAATAGTTTCAGCTTCTTCGGGAGCGTATAGCTTGTATATAATTGACTGCTTGATGATATAAAGTAATTTGTTGTTAATAATAAGCTGACAGAATATATACATTCTAACCTTGTCGCACGAACTCTCTCGTCTAATTGATCCACTGTAGGTTTTATCAGTCCCATTAAACCCTCAGCGAGGGTATCCCGTGTTGGATTGTCACAAAAATTTTCAGTATTGTCCTCTAAGGAAGTAGCAGTACTTTCAGAATCTAAATCCATTGCAAAATCTACTAAAAAATAACAAAGATGACAATTTCTTCTTTTTTAAATAATGACAGAAATGATATAACTTCAATTTTTCACTTTTTTAAACAAATTGCTGTAAATATTCTGATTTATCTGTATTTATAATTGGGTATACAATAAAATGTAATTTAAATAACTTTATTGTTTCCAAATAGATTTATAGAAAGTTCTAGCTCCTTTCAAGCTCCTTTCGTGTATGATTTGCCAAAAATATATATATAAATATGAAGTATATTGATAAGGTGAAAATTACGACTGGAAAAAAATTCTCAAATAAATTTATAAACATTGCAAATAATTCATAATTTTATTTTGAGAACTTTTTACTGCTTCAATTGAGAGTGCAATATCATATAATTTCGAAATTGTTTGATCTGGCTATAGAATTAAAATAAGCCAATTCATTAAATTATACTAGAACATTTAAGGAGAAAAATTTATTTTAAAATCTATTATCATATTATAAAGTAATTCAGTAAAAAGTTCAGTTTAATAAAACTTACTGACTTCAGTAGCTGTAGAACATAGTACATAATGTAGAATAAAATTTGTCTTAATAAGAAGAGGAAAGTTGACATAAAAACTAACTTCATAATAAATCTGTTTTGTGTTATGGCTGCTGAAATTTTGATGTTTGCGAGAAAACAAAAATAAAATTTTCTAGAGTTGTCAATCACAAGTTTTTAATAACATATTTTCCCAAATTCATTGTGTAATTTGTTAACAAAACCAATTTTAATCTAATAATGGCTGAACAGTGAGTATTGTTTTTTCATTATTTATCAGCCATTTCTATTATGTTTATTTAATTTTTTTAGGAATGATAACAACTGGTTTGGTTCTTGGTTAAATGCTGCAAAGAATAAGGTATTGAATAATATTTAATAACATTTCTTATCACTCGCAGAATGTAATCTAGTAATAATATCATTGGTGGTGTTCTAGTAAAAATTCTTTTAATTTTATATAACATTTATGTTCCTTTGCTTATATGCTCTTAGTTATTTTTATATTATAACCGTTTTATTAAAAATTATAGATTGTAGCAATTATGCTTTGTTTAAGAAATATTTGTTATCTATAAGAACCTTGAAATTTATTAACATTGAATGGGATTCATAAACTTAAATATTGCATTTTTATTGATGATGGTCTGAAAACAAGGCCAGTATTTTTAATTATTTTTAAATGTATTTAAACATACAAAATATCATAGGAAGCCCACATTTACCTATATTTATTTATATTTTTATCAGTGTAGATAACAAAGTTAAAAAATAATTAAAAGGATTGTGTGGGTGATTTATGTTTATCAACACATTTAGTATTTTAGGAGGATAAAATTTACCAAAATATAACCACATTTTAGTTTAGTCTGTCTATTTATGGTGTTTAATCTTAAGGTCCATATTTCTATCCCAAAATGTAGAATCAAATATATTTAATGTATATATTTTTTATATTAATATAATTTTTCATAAATCTATACCTCTTTACAAATATAGCCCACTGATATACTTTTGATCTTTATAAAAATGGTCTTATTGATTATATTTTACCTTTGCTATCTATTTTATTTATTTACTCATGATAATATTTATTAAATGCTTTGTGAAAATGGGACACAGGCTAATAACTCATTTATAAATGTAAATAAGTACTTTTTCTTGTTTCTTTTGTTCCTGCTATAAGCTAACAGCTGTCACCATTGCCAACAACAAATTTTAGGTACACAGACACAGCTAAAGATTTATAAAACTCTATACTCTTTTCTTGTTAGGACTTTTTTAATTTTCATTAGTTATTCAGTTGCTCTTCAATTACTCTCACAAGAATCAGAGGGAGAGAGTAAGAGTTCAAGATTTTTTTTAAGATTTAGTCTTTTTAAAGTTAACATTAACATGAGGGAATATCATAATATAAAAGTTAGCTAGAGACCGACCGATTAATCGGCTTCGGCATCGGCTTCGGCCACCTTCGCCAATATTTAAACCTTCGGCCAAAATTCGGCTTCGGCCAAAACAAAGCCGAAGGTTTTGCCGAAGGTGACTATAGAAATGAAATAATCTCTGAACAATAATATGAATGATTGATAATTTGAATAATATTTAGAAGGTATTTAGAATTTAGAATAAAAGTTAGAAAATTGGAACATATGAAAACTCCACATGATGTTACACAACCAGTTTCCAGGACATTTCAGCCCAACCTACATCAAATAATGGAACTTAAGTCACCTGCTCTATGGCCTGATGATCATCCGATATCATCTAGGATTGATAAGGGTATCATGGACCTTATTATTGTCGACATGTTACCATACTCTATCGTTGAAGGAGAAGCTTTTCAGCGTTTAAATTTTGAAGATCCTAATGTTACTTCCAAATACAGAAAAAAACGGAAAAGTTTTTTAGAACTAGTTTAATGCCAGCTACCTATGACAGAGTTTGGAAAAAAGTATCAAATTTAGTTTCTAAAGCCGAATGGATAAGCTTTACGTCAGATATTTGGAGCAATCCTGCTAAAACCTGTTCTCTTTTGAGTTTTACAGCTCACTTTGTTCATGGCTCAAAACGTCTTAAAGTTATATTAGGCGCTAGTGTGCTTAATGATGACCATTGTTGGTCAGATGTTTATTGCAAGTAAACTTAATGAAATAATTAAAAATTTTAAAATAGAAAACAAAATTCATATAGCTGTAACTGATAACGCAGCAAATATGGTCGCGGCTATTCGTATTACACAATTTACATCTCTAAGATGTGTGGTTCACTCATTACAACTTGTAATTCATGATTCTTTATTAAAACAGGAATTAATTGAAAACACAATTAAAAAATGTCGTAAAATTGTGGAACATTTGAGTGAACAAGCGTGCAGGTACCTGAGGCAGTTTCAACAAACTTACAATTTGCCACAGCATATGTTAATTCAGGATATGGAAACAAGATGGAATAGCACTTACCTAATGTTGGAGCGGCTATTCGAATAGAAAGTTGCAATAAATTTGTATATGGCTGAACGTGGTGGTATTGAAGTTCCAGTTCAACAGAATGGGAATTGATCAACAATTTAATTTCAGTTTTAACTTGTTTTTACCAAGCGACGCTAGATCATTGGTTATCCCACTAATAAAAATGCTAAATGGTAAAGTTTCTGCGAAAGAGCAGGACTCTGAGGAGATAAGTTTGTTAAAGCTACGACTTCGTGAATCATTAATGAAAAGATTCGCTAATATTACAAATTTGCCAGAATTGTCAATTGCGACTCTTCTAGATCCTCGCTTTAAATCAAAATATTTGACAGACGAGGAAGTAATTACATGTAAAGCAAGAATTTTAAAATTTCTACGTGAATCTGATATCTAAGTTTAGTTATACAAATAAAGTTCCTATGGCTATCGCTTCAACATCATCATCTACAACTACACATGTAGAAGATCTAGAAAACAATAGTCTTTGGAATTCACATGATACTTTTGTCACAGCCGTTCTAGATACAACAAAAGAAATTCATAACGACAACGATCCCAATGCAGATTACCTAGATTCGTATTTACGAGAGGCTTTGCTTTTAAGAAGTGCCGACATATTTCATTATTGGGAATCAAGTCCCTATATTTCTTTAAAAACTGCCGCCAAAAAATTTCTATCGGCACCACCAACGAGTGTACCTAGTGAGCAGTTATTCAGCACTGCTGGGCAACTATACGCTGACAGAAGAACTAATTTGTTGGGAGAAAACGCTGACAAGCTTCTTTTTCTTACGTATAATATTAGGATGTTTGATTTCGAATATTAACTACCAGATCCAGTAATCATAAATACTCACTTGCTTGAATGTTTTTTAATGTTATTTATTTTTATTATCGCTTCTATTACCAAATAATGTATAAATATTTGACTTTTTATCTCATAATTTTATATTTTTGTTTATCACTTATCAGTTAATAAAAATATAATGCACATTATTTAAATTATTAACATATAATAGGTATATTTTTATTCACCTTCGGCTTCGGCCGAAGGTATCCTTCAGGCCGAACTTCGGCATCGGCTTCGGCCAAAAAAATCACATTCGGTCGGTCTCTAAAGTTAGCAAGGCAGAACTATAATACTTTAGAACAAAAAAAGTTAGGAATGGTCTTTTTGGAGCACTGAGTTTTTCATTTTGTTTTACACAAATACTTCTGGGTCCAAGTCTTTTAAAAATATTTTTATTTGCTTTATTTATTTATTGGTTTATAAAATAACTAAATTGAATAGTTCTGATCCACTTCATTGTTAATCAAGTGATCTCGGTATAAAAAAGAGCTTGGGTTATAATGGAATTATTTCCCATTTTAATGCATAACAAGACTCATTAGAGAATCCAATAGCTACAGAAGAAAATTTTTTATTTTACCACCATTACTTGTTGTAATGGACACATTGAAAGAATGGACACTGGGACTTTGGGAATATTGATTAGCAAACATTGGTGTTCTAAATGGGTTGATTTTAGCAATGGGCGCATTCGAATGAAAAAGAATCAGTAATCCGATTATTTTAAATAACCTGCTCATTCGGTTATTGAATTGGAATTCGAATGATAACCGGTTTTCGGTATAATCTACAACTTTGGGGGTATTTGATTAAAATCTAACAACGTAACCACAGTGCCTACCCTAAAAAATCTCTAAATCGTTTTCTTTACAATAAAACTAAATGTCATTTGTCTTTAAATGATTTGCATGCATTTGCATGCTTATCACCAAAATCGCCAGCTCGGAACCTGTGACAGATCTCGGTCAATCTTGGTATAATATGAATGATCATCAATCTAATGTTAATCCGATTATGTATATCATTCAGAGAATCCTATTTTTAAAATCATGTGATTATGCCCAACACTAGTTGATTTAGCCTTGTTTGTCTACTGGAAACATGGAGAATAATTTTTTCCAATAGTTGAGGACCAAAAATAATAGAGTGCAGTATACTATAAAGTATAGTGAGATCTTTGTGCAAGCGTCAGATTTGGAGAGAAATTATGTTGAGGGACCTTTCCATATTTGAATAGTTCATTTCTTCAATCCTCTGGTTTTGTTTAAATGCAACAAATCTTAAGAATTTGTGTTTTACTCTCTCAATAGTTTGAATATGGGTGTTATAGTGAGGAGACCGAACACATGAACAGTAATCTAGGTGGGGTCTCACAAGTGAACAATACAAAATTTTTATGGATGGGATATTTAGAAAGTCTTTAGCACAATTTTTGATAAACCCTAAAAGTTTAAGTGATTTTGAGATAACAGATGAGATATGGGTGATGTAGGATAAGGAGTACGTCAAAATATTTTAGTACTCAGATCTTTAAGACGTTAAGAGGTGTTACTTATCTGCTTCTTCTTCTTCGAGTGTCACATCCTATCCAAATTTTCTTAAATTGTATGTCTTCTTTAGCAAATTGCTTGAGTCCAAACCTGTCAAATGTTATTTGTTCTTACAGTACAGTCTGTTCAAACTCATTATGTGGGGTAAGATGCATGGCAAGAGAGGCCCAAGAAGGCATAAGATATCATGGCTATGCAATCTCAGAGATTGATACAACTTAATGACTACAGAACGTTTTAGCATGTGCATCTGGTCAGTGTCCATCTTCAATCTTACTTTCTATTATGAATTGAAAGAAGTGATATCTATTATGTCTTATGTGACCAAGATATGCAAGTTTCCGCTTTTTAATTATTTTGATCAACTCATGTTCTCTACCCATTCAACACAAAACTTCCAATATTTGGGCAGTTCAAGGTATTCACAACATTCGTCAATGCATCCAAATTTCAAATGCCTTGAGGCTATTCAAACTGCTAACTTTTAGTGTCC